AATTCGATGCCCTGATTACGAATATGACATTCATATTTGATGCTGGTGTCATTTGGCGCCATTTGGCGCCCTTTGGCGCCAATTTGGCGCCACGGCTGTTTTCACCAAATCTGCTGAAACTTCGTCATTTGGGGTTATTTGAGGTCCTGATTGCGAAAACGACACCCGTTTTTAGTGCTGGTGCCATTTGGCGCCGTTTGGCGCCAATTTGGCGCTACAGCGTTTTCACCAAATCTGCTGAAACTTCGTCATTTGGGATTATTTTGGCCGAGCGTGATGCAATGGACCATCGAACGAGACCAGGGTCTACGTTCATGCCCGAAAGGGTTCCTTTTTCGAAAACTGTTATTTTCCTGAGTCCACGGTGTTCGCACTGCCCTATTTCTGGGACTGTGTACATGGACTCCTTCGGATGGTCCGAAGGAAAGATGTTTCAACTCTGCTGCGGCTCATCACGAAGTAGTACACCGAGCACGGTACTACCATCCTCAGTGGCGGCTGGAGAGCTTACAGTCGGCTTGCTGCTCTGCCCAACGCATACAGGCATCTCCAGTGAAAACTTGAAATATGCTTCTGGCTTAGCCCACAATTTTTCACGGTCTGGCTCCTTCCTGTCATGGGAAAGTCTCCGATTCGATGACCTTTTCCACGGTCTGACAGTCGGCGCTCTGAGAAAGGTGCCTAAGAGTACGCTCTGACTGTGAAGTGTTGTTTGTGACAACACATGTCGCCGGCGTCAAGACTGAATGTTATATTTGTGATGAGGACGCCAAATAACCCTATACACACGTTTTCAGCGGATTTGGTGGAAACAGCCGTGGCGCCAAACAGGCGCAGCACTGAAACGGTGTCGTTTTCGCAATGAGGGAGGGAGGGTGGAGCCCAATAACCAATATGGAGGAAGTTTTAAGAAGATGTGGTGAAAACAGCCGTTGGCGCAATTGGCGCCATCGGAGCAATTGGCGCCAAATGGACAACAGCATGCAAAGGGGGATTGATGTATATTCGTAAATCAGGGCATCGGAACTTACCCAGTAGGCAACAGTGTCGACGAAATGAAACTTGAGATTTTGGGCAGTAATCGGGGATATAGAAGGGACGCGCATGACAACGGTGAAAACCAAGTTTTCAAACTGGGGGGAAGTAATGCATATCTTGCGATGCATTTTCGGCGGAGAGAGCGTAGGCGGGGCAATTTCAGGCCTGCGAGTCATTTTGAAAATTCGCCAAACAATCTAGAACGTTACCACAAGGGCGTGACGAGAAGCATGTTTGAGGGCCACCCCACGCAAAGAACGGCTTTACTTGTCGACCTGAGTTTTTCCACATAATCCTACAGGAAAGTGGAACATATGTCTCACGACAGTGTAAGGAATTTTCGTCTTCCTTTAAGCTTCTACAAACCCCCCTCTAAAAGTGAGACTTGTTCAGTTTAGGGGGCAAAGGCATTGAGAAGATGGGTGATGTTGGGGTCCACCACGCGAAACGCTCACCTGGACCAAGATTTCCCATATTAATTTTACAGAAAAGTGACCGTACTCTACAGACAGGTGAAGGAAATTGTGTCGCTATCGTTCAGCAGCTTTCTGCAAAACATGTCCTCTGAACAAAAATGCTACTAATAGCCCACTATGCCTAGCCGAAAACTGTTCAAAGATTCCACTTGATATACAGAGGATGGGATATGAGAGCAGAGGGAACACGTAAAGCTAGTAAGCGACTTGAAAACGAAACGAAGATCTAAGAATTCGGAAAATAACATTCATCTAATCTCACAATGTAGTGGATGAGATTGAGTACGTGGCGCATTCTGGGGTAAGTTTTGAGGCCCTTCTTTGTGTGTAGCGGTTAGCCCGCATAAGCGGGATTATATACACATCACATGCGAACAACTACTTTTTGAGATAAAATCGAGTGCATGGCGCATTCCGAAATCAAGCTTTCTGAAAATATTTTAGCTTAATCTTGTAGCGCTTGAAGAGCTGAGTTCAACGGTGTTTTTCCTTTCTGGAATACTTCACTCTGACCCGAGTTCTAACGAATTCACGAAATTAACGAGGATTCGCGTTATTCGCGTGAATTTTCGATTTCAAACGGCGAGTACTGTACTTCTCCCTGCGATGCTGGGGCTTCTGCAGGACTTCTTGGAGCAAGTTTGGAGCTCAGCATAAGTTAGGCTCCACCCACTTGGATGCACGCCACTCCCACCATTGGAGGAATTTTTTATTTATTCATTTATTCATGCGTACAATGATGCGCCAGCTGCAATAGGCGAAGCGGGACTGACTGCATGACTCAGAAAGAACAGAAAAAATATATAACATCAACTGATAACTATAATGGCAGCTATTAAAACAGTTGCAAGTGAAAAAAAAACTATGAAAAAGAAGGAAGATGAAATAAACAGTAAAGACGGACTACTGAGTGAAGAAAAGAAGAGAAGAAGTTGTTCAAGCAAGACTGTGAAGACTTAAGCTAGCATTGCAGTTTAAGTCAGCACCAGTCGGCCATGAAGCCCTTGCGCCACTTGAGGGATCATGGGTTTACCGGAACTCCGAGACACGGGTATGCCGACCACCCGCGTGGGACCGATAAGCGACATGATCCGCGACGCATCCTCCCAAATTCTTAGGCTAGAGTAGTCACAGCCGCGTTTTAGTGTTTGTTTTTTGGGAGGGGGACACCTTCAACAGTGAAGGATTTGCTTGCTATAGAATTTAAGGATGTGCCAAGAGTGAAACCGCTAAGCCTGAGCAACAACAGAAAACTAGACAGGAAACATGGAAATAGACTATGATACGTCGTCAACACCGAGAACTTCTAATAAATTGAGCTTCTTTAGCGCTACTTTGAACTGAGAGGAGTTGTGACACGATAGTAGGGATGGAGGTTGCGGCCACCGAGTAGTGCGTAGAATGAAGCTGTTGTGCCGAAGCTGCTTATGAAACTAGCCCATTGTGTGGCCAAAAGTTTGGAAGCCGCCTCGACGTCCGCTTGAAGGCCGAAAAATCCAAAAGTTCGATGGACGGATTCGTAACTCGCCTTTGATTACCTTAAAAGCAAAGACTAGATCAGAAACAATCTTCTGTGAAGAAGACTCTTCAAATTCAATTTCAGAAGGCGGTCATGATAAGATGGCAGAGTGTAAGGATAATTCTTATTAGGGAAAACTTTGTAGAACAAAGTTCTTGTAAAGGTCTTCCGAACATTTTTAAGTTTTTGGATGTCTTTGACAAGGTATGGACTCCAGATGGGACTACAGTATTCTAACATTGGAAGGGTGTATGATTTGAAGAGCCTAATCCACATGTCAACATTGACGCCATGGATATTCCTGAGTAGAAGATGGACCAACCTGAGCGTTCTGTTGCTGACTTCATCTACACGAATGCTCCAGCTCAGTTTTATTTTGAGAGCTTGATTCTTATGCCTTTCACTTGCTCACTATGCCTCAACGGAATCTTATTCGGGAAATGAATTTCTAGCGGTGTCACTCCGAGCGAGAATAAGTGCGTTTCACTGGGAATGATTTCCAAGCTCCAGGAATGGTCCCAGCTTAATATTCTCAACGCAGTTGTTCAGCACTGCCTAAGCTTCATGTGGCTCATTTTGCGTACGAGTCACTGCCACTTTTATGTCATCCGCGAATGCGGCAACGGGGATCCTGCTGTCAATTTTGAGATAACTAGGTAGGTCGTAGGTATAGATGAGAAAGAAAAGAGGCGACAGAACGCCTCCCCCCCCCCCTCGGGAGACCCCAGAAGGTGCGCAACCAGATCGATGGAGAGATCCACCTCCGATGTGCAGAGCATTCCCAAAAAGGCAGGGCTTTATGAAAAAATTCATAACTCAATTTGGAGAAAACCTACAGAGCAGAAAAAAAGGTTTTTGGAAAGCAATGTGTAATATGCCAGCACATATGACATGGGGGAGGCCCGCCCACAATGGGCGGAGTGTGCCCTGAAGTGCACAAACGTTCCCTACGAACAGTGAATTTTGTGACGGATAGAAGAGCACTTCATGGTTAATAGAATGATCCCTTCCTCAGCTGTGAAGACCTATTAGCTAAACATTCACTTTATTTTGTAATGTGAGATGAGATTCATCTTTTCAGTACAACATACAATAAAATACTATGGCACATATGTCACTTTAAAAAGGCGTCGTAATAACACCGAAAAAAAGAAAAGTGAGACTATCACGTAGTTGTGTCACTGATAATTACCATACAGAGATAAACACCTCGAGTAATGGGCATACGATACCATACAACGTGGGAAAATTATTACGTAAATATTAAACGAGTGGCGAGTTGTGGAAGTGTATGGTACAACATACTTTTTCAGAAATTTTGCAGGCAAAAACAAAAAGGACATTTCTCTTATAAACCTGGCCGCATCCGCAACACCTAGAAAAAAGGCGCAACAACTCGCAGCAGCTGAATGGACGCATAGCAAAAGATATTGATATTAAAAAGATTATTGGGCAAATTGTTACGGGGATTTTGGTGAGTTTTATTTCGAAATGACCTTTGCCGAATTATTTCCAATTTCCACTTGCTTGTTTGGGGTGATCTTTTCCTACGACAGTGTCAAAATTATTCATAAGTGTATGCGGTACTGCTGAAACTCGGAAAAAATTAATGATCCCATCGAGAGTATGGCTGGGACAATCACGAACCACTAAAGCTTAGTGGAAACCAGCAAGGGTAAGCAGACTCATCTGCCAAAACCCATCGCAGTGCGCGCATTGTGTTAGCAGGGATCAGTGTGCTGCAACATCTGAAGAGTACCTTCCCTTTTACAGATGCGGCCAAAATTCTACTAAGATCATTTAACTCTTTCATCACACAACGAAAAATCACTAACATCACGAGGAATTACGGAATTCATGGCAGCAATGAAAAACCATTCTGGACTAGCTCATAGATTCCATAGACTATGGGCATTTCAAATACCACGTCTTAGTTGGGGCCATAGAAATTGGCCTGCATCTTTCCATCACTCGCCACGTTTCTGTTTGCTGATCACCCAACTTTCCTCAGCTCGTCGCACTGCGCTCGGAATCAAGTGATCAGTTTTTGAGCGATAGCATCCCAGCAACTTTTTGCAATGTCTCTTTCCACTCGATATCTCGTCCATCTGCAATGTGTCGATATCACAATAATCGAACTCCCTTCGTCATTCACTGTGACGCAGCCGTACGCACAGAGGCAGATACATGACAGAAAAATGACCACTACTTCCATCATCCTATTCGCAGAAACCGATGTTTCAAACTGCACAGCTTTTGTTTGTGCAGAAGTGTTCACAATGTTTCTATGGTATTCAAAATATTGTCTGGTATTGCCAGGGTTCACGCGTGCAAATTCTGTGATGGGAATGCACATGAAACTTCTCCACCTCTAGTTTTTGATTTGATAGAATCAAATCAAAACTAGGGGTGGAGAAGTTTCATATACAATGCCAAGAACCAACCTCGAGCGATATAGCTTCGAGTGTCGATCTGGATCTACATTCATTCTCGTGAAGAAGGAATTGTTGAGTTATACACTGCGTCCCATAATTATACGTCCACCTAAGAATTTCCCGACATCCCACAGATATAGATGTTTTGAAAAGAGTCTTCAATGTATTTTCTATTTGAGATCAGAGGAGTTTTTTTGAACAATTTTTCTGAAGGCCACTCAGCCGACGTCCCAAATTATACGTCCACCTGACGTTTATCGATTACTTTTCACTTCTGTTCCACGAAACTTTTTCATTGTTGTAACACTTCACTTCTTAAGGGAACAGCATAATAAAGACTGCTGTTGGATTTCGACAAAGGGAAAAATGTCGCAAAACTGTTGAACAACGCAACCGCACCAGATTTGGTCCAGGTTCACGCCAAGCTTGAGAATTTCTCCAGGGATTTCACATGATATGGAGTTTAGAAGAGCTTTAAAAGTCTCTCATTGCTTTTCAATAGAAAAAAAGGCCGTGTTACAGAAATAACATCCATTTTATCCAACGGTGCTCTGTCATCGAATCTTCTTGAGAACTTTAAGCCTCAACAGACTTTTGTTTCATGCATGTGAAGGGATCCCAAGATCACTCTTGATCGGAAAATGTGAAAGACGTTCATTTATGGCAAGGAATCGTGACGAAAACTGGGCTGATTTTTGCATGAAGGTGCAGCCGAGCCGACTGAAGTAAGGTTCGCTTCTGCCCGATATGTTTTGGCATTTGTTTGTTTCTTCTCACGTTTACCTTTGTCTTAATGGCTTCTTTCTTAGTGAAGCACTACTAAAAGAAAGAAAATGTTGGAAGGAAAGACAGACCAACACTCATGCATAGCAAGGAAAAAAGGACCTTACTTCAGTCGGCTCAGCTGCACCTTCATGCAAAAATCAGCCCAGTTTTCGTCACGATCCCTTGCCATAAATGAACGTTTTTGACATTTTCCTATCAAGAATGATCTTGGAAGTCCTTTACATGCATGAAACAAAAGCCCGTTGAGGCATAAAGTTCACAAGAAAATTCGATGACAGAGCACCGTTGGATGAAGGTGGATATTTTCTCTGTAACACAGCCTTTGTTTCCATCGAAAAATAATGAGAGACTTTTAGAGCTCTTCTGAACTCCATATCATGTGAAACCTCTGAAAAATTTCCAAGCTCGGTGTGAATCTGGACCAAATTTGGTGCGATTGCGTTGTTCAACAGTTTCTGCGATGTTTTTCCCTTTTTCAAAATCCAACAGCAGTCTTTATTATGCTGTTCTCTTGAAAAGTGAAGTGTTACCATAATGAAAAAGTTTCGTGGAACAGAAGTGAAAAGTAGTCGATAAACGTGAGGTGGACGTATAATTTTGGGACGTCGGATGAGTGGCCTTTTACACAAAAATTATTCAAAAAAACTCCTCTGATCTCAAATAGAAAATTGATGTTTATTGGTAATCCCGCATTAATAGATGACACATTGGTACATTGAAGACTTTTTCAAAACATCTATATCTGTGAGAAGTCGGGAAATTCTTAGGTGGACGTATAATTATGGGACTCAGTGTAGTTAGTAGAAGTTTACTGTGGCAATCTGATGACGCTCTTGGTTTGTTTCTTACGACTACCTTATGTAGATACAAATAAATGAATAACTAAAAGTTTTGCGATCATCTTCAGATAAATTAAATTCGCCGGAAATATGAGGGGGTTGGTATGTGAACTGATAGAACCATTTGGCGGCGACGTTCAGATTTGATGGACAAAGTTCAGATCGCACCGAACTTGTGAACTTCCCGAACATAATCGTCGAATCGAATCAATTGAAATTGTGTACACTGCAGGGTCAGCCGTCCGTTCAGACAATCCGAGAGAGGGATCGCATTATGATTTGTGGTTCACTGTTTGATGGAGTGCGGTCGTATGTAGACTTTTAGTGGATCCAACACCATCATCTTTCCATATGATACGATCCCACCCCATCTCCATCACCACTGTTTTTGTAGTACTTGATTCTAACACACGACGCGAGAGAAGCGGAAATGTGTTGCTGTAAAGGAAAAGAGATTTAAAGGAAGCGATCACGCTGGCTTCCATGCTGGATTTGCTACCCTCGCGTTATCAATCGGTAAGGTGTGAGGCAGTAATTGTTGACGAGTTTAAACCCATGGAAGATATGACACTATGAGATAAGAAGGTGCGGCTGTTTGATAAGAGGGGCAATCCAGAATGAAAACGGGACGATAACGATAACGGTATCATATTTAGGACGCCCTTATCGCACCCCTTTCCACATCGATAAGTCTTGGTTTTTGATGAACGGAAGTAGATTTCGGCGCCTTCCGTTGATAAGGCGCCACTGCCACTGAAACTTCACGTGTTCTGACATGGGGCAGGACCCCTATCCACTCCAGTACACAGCTTTCCTTATCGTCCCTATGAGAATTATCGTGACCACTTCCTTTAAATGACATTCACAGTTGTAAAATGCGAGCGATACTTCGCCTGGTATACAGATATGTCGACCGTTGGAAAGGATACTCCCAGCAAAACAGCTTGCGGTCAAAACTCACTCGAACCTTCACGCGTTGCCCTCGTTCATTCCGCGCTATCTGACGCAAGGAACCAGTCCCATAAAAAAGCGGAAATGTGTTGCTGTAAAGGAATAGCTACACGTTGGAGTAGTGTGGGTTACGAGGCCCGAAAAAGGTCTTTTTCAGTGACCTAATGGAAGAAAGCAAACCATACTCTTAAGAACATTAAAATCACATTGCGCTGATAGCCGGGGTGGTACCAGCACTGAGAGTGGCGCCTTTGACGAACCTTCTTCTCGATATGTGTTAAAATACTGTCACGAACATCTAATTCATTTCTGCATGCTATGCACCTTTTCAATCACGAAACGTGTGTTGAAGAGGATTGTTAGGACACTGGATGACACAGGGTGGCATGACAAACTATCAATTTGCAAAACTTTTGTGTTACCTCAATCTCCAGATTGCTCCCTAGTGTTGCTGCATAGAACATCTTCAAGATTGTTACCTGTACAAGAAGATCGTATATTGTCTCATCAGGAACTTGTGAATCGTGCTTGTACGCTGGATGCGTATCCACGAAATGCCGTATCCAGTGAGCTAATGTCCAAATTTCACCGGAAGCACGCTTCTGAAAGTACTATATAGACGATGTAGAAATCCTGGACGATAAATATAAATTAAATTTCTTCGACAAATTCATCGCCTTCTTCTTCTCCCTTGCGTTGACCACACGCAGTCGTAAGCCCGCTGCTCTCGTTAGGCGCTGCCAATCAGTCCAGTCCAGAATATCTTCTGCCAAAGCCATCACTTCAGACCCTTCTCGAAGAATCCTCCATCTCATCTATCAGTTCTTCGCGATCGCTTGCCTTGCGCTTCAAAATCCATTGCTTTCCTTATCAGGCGATCCTATAGCCTTTTTAAGAGGTTGACGACAGCGTGACGCGGTAACGCGTCCCACTTTGCGCACCTCGTAGGACATTGTGACGCGGTAACGCGTCCCACCTAGCTCATCCCTTCTTCTTGCTTTTATGCGACTAGTTCCTAGGTCTTTATACTCATTATATGAGACATACATTAGCATACTCAAAAACCACATGGCTCACAGAAAGGCCAAATATTACTTAGTATAGCAGACGTTTTCCTGACTATACGGATATGTCTGTTCAATTCATTCCTCGTTTTCTTTTCAATAACGTAGACATGTTGATAAAAAGGAATACCAGAAGTGCACACAAACCTATTCGTATAGGAAGATACAGTCGATATCCGAAAGTTGGGGTGGGTGTGTCTCCGGAAGTGACGTGCACTTGATGGAAATGAGTGGATAAGCAGTTGCCAGCACGCTTTGGTGGTAACTAGCGATGTATGTTGGAAGCAGCTTATCCACATAGTTCCTATCAAAAGCACGTCACTTCCGGTGACACGCCCACCCCAACTCACCGATATGAGTATATGTGTTTTTACTGACACAACCATGTCCAAATTAATTTTGGAACCACTAAAGGGAAATTTAGTAAAATCTCCCTTTTCATGGCCTTGACACCCCATTTTGGTCAAACTCCATTACTGTAACTCCTGATAAGCTAGACAGATCAAACATCTTTGAAAACATTCCATTACATCTAAGCATTGCGGATTGCGGACACCAAATCTATGGATTTGGTGTGCGGTGGCTCCGCTCGCAAAATTGCTCTTGTCCCATGCGGTGCATAAGCACAAAACGCGCGATGTCGTCAACGTGTTAACACACCCACATACCATCGTGCTGTTCTCTGCTGTTCCTACCTTCTGTTGTATAGAGATAGTCGGCATGATCATCATCGTTCCTGATACTGCCCTGTAATGACCAACCGCGGGCCCATCTCAACATCCTCATTTCAGCAGAATGAAGCTGCCTTTCTTGATTCTTGTTCAAGGACCAGCACTAGCTGGTGTAGAGCATTGCAGGCCTTATAACAGCCTAATACCCTTGTCCTTGCGTGTTTAGTCGCGTCTCTGAGCACGGAACATTGCAGCGGACTCCCTTTATTTCTCCCATACCGTGTTGATTTGTGTCTTACTGGCTGACTTGCGCTATCATCAGCGGTTAGATCACTCTCGGGTATCGACAGCTCTCTGCTCTTTCGACGTTTACTTAAAGGCAAACCCCGGGATTAGCCCGACTAGTAGGAAGGATACCGCGAGGGAAATAGTAAGACCCGTACCTACCTAGATCACTTCAACTTGGTCGCGAAAATCGCGCAGTTAGGGCGCTAATCCTTACGGGCCTCCAACCATCGAACGCTTCCCACCCACCGCGAGATGTGGTGAGATCAGCGTGCATTGATGTAGAGATCAGCGTGCTCTCTCGAACGACGTTCTCTCTTGCGTGTTTTGACCTCTCTGATCGCCCTGTCTTGCCGTCGCACCACATCCGACCTTTTTAAAGGTTAAGGCCTCAAGCTCAGCGTTCCCAAAGAGTTGGGAACGCTTCCCTCTCCACTTTGGGGTCGCTCCGCATAAGCTATCACTGCGAAGCGCTCTTAGCACCAGTTTATTTCCGGAGGTTGCCTTTATTTCCGCAATCAGCTCTGTCCCGCTTCTTTTAAAAATGAGTACGTTTGATACTCAATGGAGTTCATCTTCTGCTAGCACCTCCTGCCGTTTCCATGGGATCTAATATTCTAGCGTTAGGAGAAAGAGAAAAAAAAGCTCATAGCCAATCCTCGGTTAACCTCACCGAAAAATCCACCTCTTCTTCTAGGCCATGAAGTATACACATTACTGCCTTAGCGATCGTGAAGCTGTTTCCCAAGAACGTGAGGTGTTTCAGAACGTTCTGCTCCCTGAGCGCCCTCCCTGAGGCAACCAGTGGTAGACGAGCAAATGCTTCTTTGAGGTTGGGGAAACCAAATAGCAGAATCTGCGCCTCTCCATACTTCCGCGTTCCTTGCCCAGCAATACAGATGACACTGACATGACATGGCACCTGTTGTCAGCCTCTCAGGCATGAACCCGAAATGTTCTTAGGAGATTGGGATCAGCTCCCACAGTAAGTCGATCAGCCGTTCAGACAACATTATGGTATGTACTGTCAGCTTGTAAACCAGCAGTTAGAGCACTCCATCATTTCCACCCCTCCCCAACCCTTCTGTTCAAAATGAGGACGCTGGACTTGTTCTCCAGTATTTCCTTCCATGGTTGCCTGGTTGAGGATGAATGAGCCATCTCAAAATTAGCTCGTCCCTCCGATAGCCTTCCATGCTTCATCTGGCACTCCACGTGGACCTACAGCCTTCCCGATTTCACCCTCTACATTCGTGGTCGAATCTCGCCCATGGCATAATGAGAGCAACCGTCGAACCTACTTATGGGTTGTCCTTGGCGAAACGCTCATAGCCGAAAAAAACACACGTACCGAAATGAAATTCAGGTACTGCGAAATTGTGCAACGAGTATCCACGTCCACATCTGCACTGTCAAGGTATTGCTTAATGAGCGGAACGAGTCCAGGGAAAGTGTTGTCACCCTCTTTTCCTGAATTATGAACAGATCGAATAACTATAAGCTTTTACAATACTCAGCTGTCTAGCTAACCATTGATGATCTCATTAATCGTCATTTCTTCAATCTCTTCACTAGGTTCGCCACACTGTGGTGTTCCCTTTAGGTTTTCTGGAGATGACTTGCACGTGGCCAAGCTCTTTCTGAAAGTCAATTATCAGCAAGAGCCGATTGAAAAAAAAGGAATCACTAAAATACTGGTTCGTAGGAAAGCGATTTAAGCTAGTCTGTGCTTTTGCCCCCTCTCCGGCTATGCATGCAATTAAAACAGACCTAAACAGAAACTTCTGCTTGGTGACGGCATCCCTCTTCTGAGCTCGTTTCATGTTCTCGGTTACCATAGAAATAGGCAGCAAGTAAGTGAGGCGGAATGAGATTATTACTCTGAATCACACAACCAATCAAGCAATCAACTACGTTGAATTGTACTCCAACTGACCTCGTTAACAGAACTACGAAACAGCAATAAGCTGCATTTTCGAAATCAGTTAGTTGCACCTGCAGAAAGAGAATATCAGACAAATCTAACAGGAGCTCAGTTCTTTCATACTTCATTCAATGGTAGCCTCAGAACTATCGGAGGTAAACTAAGGTATAAAGAAAGGAGCAAACAGAAAAAAAAAGATTCGTAAAGGAAAATGTTAGTTGCATTACGTAGTATAGAATTAAATTCTTTTACTCTGTGAACACCAATCAAACGAACCTCTGTTGGCCTGAACTCAACGCGCCATCCGATTTCAGGAGCGTCTGGAGGGGGCGGCTTGAAGCGCATATTCATCCAGTTAGAAGATTGGATGGTTTCAAAATGCTCTGTCGACTTTTCGTCGTCCTGCTCGATTCTCTCGCGAAATACCTGAAAATTCTCGGATTACACTCGTAAATACAGCATAAACACAAACGCATATAGGACGCAGGCAACAACTGAGGAGTATTTGGGGATGACCTAATTCATTCCTGGCCCTGACTACTAAAAAAATCAAGTTTCGCTCTACCTGCAGCGGATCACGTATGAACATATGTGCAATGTGCTTTGCCAATGGCTCGTCAATATTGCCATCTCGTAACTGCCTAAAATAACCTGTAATCAGTCAGAGCAAACCAATGCCTACACAAACGTTCTATTTAATTTCACCACTTAAGCGGTATCAAATAAATACATAAATAACATGTCGTGCTAAAAATTAGGGAAGACCATGTAATGCTCGTAAGGCCGGTGTCAGACTTTGGCGAATCCAACGATTTGCGAGCATCGCGGAATCAGAGTCAACCCTGCGTTGCGCATTTCGCAACGGCACGTTGAGAGATCCCCAACGCAGCTGTGATGGCGGAGACGCAGACGGCTCGAGCATGCGAGTGTGAATGTTCGCGCGAGAGAACGTGTCTAATCGGGGCAAACTTCGCAAGTGACCGTTGAAAACTGCGCAACGCAGGGTTGACTCTGCGCGGAATACGAGCGCTGTACCAGCGGATCGAACTATGTGCCAGCGGATCGAACGATGTATCAGCGTCTGGACACTGTTTGGGGGTGGCGGGACTTCCTTTGAACGTTGACTCTCTCCACTTTCCTCAGCTCAAGAAGGCATGAGAGGTGAGAGGATATGAGAACTCGGGAAAGGGCGAGAGTCAAGATGCAAACACGCAATGTTTGACATTGGCCTAAAAAAGCATTTGCTGGTCTTTCTGCCAAATAATTTAGAAAAATAAATAGCACAATTAGGACGTGTAAAAAAAAGGGCAACCTCATGGGCCAGACAAAGGCCATTGCATTTTAAAATACAAGACCAAAGAGAGAAAAAGAACTTTTTAGTACTGCCTTTTTATTACGATAAAACCATTATAACTTATCTAAAAGCTTAAAACTAAGCTAGAAAGAACTTTGGACTGCAACGTACTGATATATCGCTTCATCATACTGCAATGGAATGTCGTTGTAAGGGACCGAACAAGGATATATGTAACAATCGGTAGAATCGTAGCGACTCTTCGCTATATTCCATTTCGAATTTTTCAATGGAACTAGTCCACGCTCCTCAGCTGTTCGATCGTCCACACTCTTAAATAGGCTGTTTATTGAAGACACTGCTTAAATCGACTTTACACCTACAGCACTGATGATGTCCCATCGAGAATCAACATCTGCTAGTTTGCTCCTAAAGATCGGTGTTGCCGCAGATAATGCAAGCAGTATTGGCGTAATTGGTGTAAGTTGATCGTAAAGCCATCGTGCTTCATCGACGTTGACAGCTTGAAATGTAACCTTAAAATATGGTCGATATTCTGTTTAAAACAATCAATTAATTACATTCAGGATGAATTGGTGCTGAAAAGTGGTGATGCCAAGTGATTAGAAGTAAATACCAGGAATAACACGGATAGGGTCGGTCGGCAAGCGCGTAAGCAGTTTTGGCGTCAATTCTATTACTCTTCTTTTCGAAAAAAAAACCTCCGAAGGGGACACAGCTTTGGTTGAAATTTCAGGAATGCGGAGAAAGTTTGCGCTCCATAACAACGCCTCCTTAATGTTCTCTGCTGAGGTAGTTTCGGGATCGCAAGAACCGCATATAATATTTGGCGAGATACACTAGAAGTGGTCTACTGGAAAAGTTTTGTTTTTCAAACTACAATTACCAGATCTGCCCCCTTCCCTCCCCTCACATGACCTTCCTTACTTGTATAAGTTTTACGCTTTCCACCGTCTTCCCTTCTACTTGCGACACCAAGACCAATGGAAGAGATGCCCATGCATACAGAAGGTTTACTGCATAGTAGAGAGCATGATCACAGTCATGACTAAAGTTAGGATGACATTTCAGCTACTTAATTGGATCTGGAGCTTGACGGCAGTTTTATTTATTTATTTATTTAGTAACTATTATACAGGGATTAAAGACTAATTGGCTACAGTTCGAGTGTTGTTAATTGCTCCTCCCTTTCCCATGTTCCCTCCTCCCATCCACTGTAGCACCATGTGGAAACCGCGACTGTGCTTGGTGTTTATGTAGCCGTTGAGGATGTTATAACAGTCATGCCATAGCAAAACATTGATAGTCCCGCGCGCTCCTGGCTTTCTTAGCGGATTGTTTATCCACTTCCACTTCGTTTTGCGGACGGACATATACATACCGAAAAAATCGACACCAAAGTTGTGGTTTACATAACAGAAGGGTCCCAAAAAGTGACTGCTCACAAGTAAGCGTTATGGCAGTCCACGGGCCAGAAGGACAGGATTTGGCTACTACCGCATCATGTCAGTAACTCGCTTGTCTCAAAATAAATTGAAAATTCATCGGAAAAATGAGAGATTTCCTCAGCATCACTAGCTTACAACATTCAACAATAATTGACTACATAGCAGAAAGTTGGATCTTGACATCGCATCCTTGCTGTTCAAAGTTCGCATCTAACACGAGTATTGTGTGTTCACCTATAACGAGCAACACGCGCGTGCAGCAATGATAACACATGCTTTTCCAGTGTGGATACCATGCAGAACAAGCAACATTCAAGCTAAGTGCATATCTGAAGTGTAGGGAGAGCTACGCAGCCCAATGGCTTCTTGACATAAGCCCTCGACACCTTGCCCAGCGGCCAGAAGAGTTTCACAAGAGATTAATCAATTTACTTCTAGAGTGCGCGCAGAAGATTCTTGAAACTGATGGACATCAATCATGAACTGGATATCATTGCCTTTGTTTGATCGAAGCAATAAGGCTGTAAATCAATCAAAACATGAAGACGACTGTGAAAGTCACCTGTAAACAGCAACATCCCATACCGAATCCCATGTGGTCCATGTAGATATGATCCGGTTTCGCTGCGCTGACCATATCTCCTTCTCCTAATGCAGACAGATCTTCCTGAATAAGTATGGAGGAACGTGTGAGAATAAGGTTCCCCCGAATCTAAACTACAGAATAGCACACAATGTACGGCTTCGGCGTGTTCTTGTCCTTGAAGATGGGAACATTAATCGCTACTTTTTCTCCGCGACGTCCGCGAATATTCTTGACTAGATTCTTGAACCTTAATTGAAACATTTAGCAATCAAAAGCAGAACAAAGGAACTTAAGAAACGACACCTTGGATGGCCGCCGAATACCGCATCTTCAGGCCAAAATAAGCTTTGACCAGGTCCTTTTTTAAAAGGAGTGGGTTCCATTGGAGGATCTGTGAAATCATGCGTGCCCAAAGCAGGAAAAGAGATGGACAGAATTGACTCTCCCTGAAAACAAAAAAAAAACCTTCTGAATGTGAAAGAATTGAGATGAGTGACAATCAACAATCGCACCTTTTTCAACAATTTTTGGACTTCCACACGACGCACGATCATATTTGCTTCAACGACATTGAAACACGCCAAGAGTCCTGAACTACAAGGAACTCAACAACACGGGCTGCAGTAACGATTATTGTAACAAAAAGAACCTCCATATGGCACTCCAGGAGTTCCCTCTATCATGTAAGCGGCGAACTCTGGTCGCCATAGAAAGTGGTTTACAGTACCAAGCAGAGCATTCACCTACCAAAACGGGTATCGATTACAACAACAACTACAATGAAAGTTTTGCACAGTTAGGCTGGTGTCAGGGTCCGCGATCCGTCGCAGGTTTCGCTGATTTCGCGATTTGTGCGATTCACGCGACGGGTCACGGAAATCACAAGTGCCCGATCAATACTGCAAGGTGTTCTTCAATCCTGCCGCCACTTCTACTTGATATGACGACTGCTCATAATTCCACTTGTTTCATATTCATATTTCGTTTTCATATTCAAATTTCACACACTTGCAATTTTTGCGATCCGCCGCCGGTTTCGCAAAAAAATCAGCGAAACCTGCGACGGATCGCGGACTCTGACATCAGCCTTATGACTCCAGGATTTGCTACTATCTTGAAGTTCCGGGAGAACCTCGTACTCAGTAAAATCTGTGTAAAACCACGCAAAAATAGCGCAACCAACAGACGAGATTATACATGAAAACAAACCTCTTCCTGGGCCTGAAGACGGCTCAACAATTCCTCAGCACGACACGATACGCGTACCTAGAAAGAACATTGGGAAAATGGCACTATTCAACTTACAACTCCGAGATCTCAAAATTTTATTTTTTGTCGAAACTTAGTCAAAGGGGTAAGTCGACGCCCTGATTACAAAAACGACGTTCATTTAAGCGGGGCTTCTGGAAGTCGCCGCCACTTTGTCACGACACTTACTTCCACCGAATTCGGTGTAAACTTCTGGGTAGGGGTTATTTGATGTCCTGATTCAAACAATGGCAATCACCTTGGCATTGACGCTGTTCAACATCCCGTTCTGCTGGATTCTATCACCTATGAATACATAGTGCTGGAGACAGCCTAGGATATAGGGTGACTTGTCCATGGACCACTTGACTCAGCCCTTTGAACCCCTCTGCGCTCTCTTGCGGGTCCCTCTCCTCTCCAAGGCTTAGTCCTATGTCATTCACCCGCTCTATAGTCGCCTGTGCTCTGGCCATAGCGCCAGGACCATTGAGGAAAAATCAAGTAGTCCGTAAACCGGGTAAACCAGGCATCGTGGGGGAAAAGTTGAAGCATGTGAGATCACAGAGTGAAAGCTCACCTCGGAGCTCTCCTCTCCCCCAAGGCTTGCTGGGGCCGGGTAGCAACCCCGATTTGGATGAGGATCTAATCAGTGAGAGAGCGCAGGAGCGTAAACAGGCGTGAGTGGCACCAGCGCCATGAATGAATGTCACATTCGTAACCAGGAAACCAAATAATCTCTATAAGAAGTTTTCGTCCAATTTGTCGGAAGCAAGTGTGGTGGAAAGATGGTGCCAACTGACGCCACCGCTAGAATTGAATGGCATTTACGTAATTACCCGATGGGCAAAGTTTCGACAAAAAATAATTTTGGGATTTCGAGGTTGTCTTGGCTGAATAGATTCGAAAATTTTGAAAGAGACCTAAGAAAATCACCTTCTTATTCTCGTGGTCGAACTTCACGAGTGTGTATTCGATTTCATCTCCCCATTTCAACTGATCTCCATGACGTGATTTCAGTCGATGATAAAGGTTTATGAACTGCGCAATTCCATGCTTCTAAACAGCCTCTCGTTGCTTTTGTTAGAATACCAGTGGAAAGAAAAATGATTGAAAATCGATGAACGGAGGCCGGAGCAAGAAAATAGATAGGGAAGACAGGTTATGGGGTTGAAAGGACACCCCCATGGTACCAGACACGTAAATCCAGGAAATGATCGTAAAAACGTTAATCTACTGAGGTCTACCGTATGGAGAAGCATTGGGCCCTCCATAAATTTGGCTGAACCTAGACATTTGTATAATTCAAGTTTGACCTCAAATGAATCAACTGAACGAAAATATAACCAGCATAACGACCAATGGTATGTATCCATTTGCCAGTAAACGAGTGGAAGAACTCGCTCAAGAATGAGTGAAGTTGGAGTTGTTTTTCCTGTTCTCATAGTCGAATTTTACAAGTGTGTATTCGAGTCCAATGCTGAGAAGGCATTTGGAGGGTTTTCCTGACTTTTTTTTCGACCTGCTGCTTCATAGCACCGCGCAGGCGACAGTCCAATGTAATAATTTCAGGACTATACAATGGAGATGCTATCGTGGTCCTGCCCATTCCCCTCAGAGAGCGAGTCGGCTTCGCAATGTGAAATTGGGCGTCCAGAGTAAGAATTCTGAGACTTCCCTACGGTTCTCTTGCACTGCTGCAGCAATCCCCGAAAATCGTACCACACTGACTTCTAATGTTTGTTTGCATTATTAAGGCTGTTTCCGAAGGATACCCTGATAATCTATAAGGTTGAAGTAATATATTTCGAAAGCAGAGCCTGTGCTTTGGATGTTGGCACGAGCCTAACGTAGCCGCATACTGGAGTCAGACTCTGCAATTGTGCGATGGCCACAGCGCTATCGCGATCGCGTAACCTTTGAGCCCGACATCCGAGTATGGCTGGTGTCAGACTGCGAATCCAGCGAAATCGCGGGGTACGAGCGTTGCACCACCGGATCAAGCTATGTCCCAGCGAATAGAACGAGGTATCAGCGAATCGACACTGTTTGAAAGTGGCGAGACTTCCTCTCATTTGCGCGTTTACTCTCGATACTCTCCCGAGTTCTTATGCCTTCGCGAGCCTTTTGCGAAATTGGATAGAACCAACTTTCAAAGGGAATTCAGCCACTTTCAAACGGTGCCGAGTCGTTGGTACCTCAATCAAACAAGTACACAGCTAGACTCGCCGGTGAGCCAGTCGTATCCCACAATTCGTTAGCAAACCGGTGGATTCGCAAAGTTTGACAGCGGCCTATATGAGCGAGCGGGCGACCCTTGCGTATTTTCGAGTCACGTGGCTATCTGAACTTGCCTCCGTGTTCTCTGTCGCGAAAGACTAAAGCACAAACGAATGACGGGCAGCTCCGGTTCCAGCACTGAGCATTGCTAAAAAGATAATCCGTGAATTAGGGGGGACTAGAAGGTAAGCGGTATGCAAGCCACTTGATGTTAAACAAAAGGTGAAACGGGCGAGGTCACAGTGGGCACGAGACTATTCAGACGAGAGATGGTTGACAAGGCCTGCACTTTGACGTTTTTTTTTTGAAGAATTGAATTCAACTGATAAGGCACTATGGGCAGCCCATGGGCTGTGCTACCCCTAATGCGATATCAGTTTTTTTTTGCACTGAAAAATGTTTGTATGGGCTTTACCAATGAGAAATAAAGAAAACTCTGTAAAGAAATAAGGAGTTTTATGACACTTCAAAATAGAACACACCTTTATATACTCAACATGAGGAACAGTTTCCGGCCAGCTTAGTGGACTGCCTTTCGTCAACAAGCCCATAGCCCTGAAAAGAGAAAGTTGAGGCCCATCATTTTAGAAATGATAGTCTTGATAAAGAATGCACAGCGAAAACTGAAATGAGCAAACAAGTACAACATTAGAGGTGTCCACAGTATCCAAACTAACTCATCCCTAAACCTATTCCGGGAAAGCCTGACCGGGTTCTTACTTGGTTTTCCGCGGGAACTCCTATACAGTTCGGTGCTAACTTAGTTGGGGGGAGGGGGGCCACGCGGCGGCGCGGCAGTCTGCTCACCTGGGCCCTCTCGAGCGAGACAGTGTAAACTCGAACATTCCAGCATTTCACGCATGTCAAGTGACTGCCCCCACCCCCAACCCCCCAGGCTGGCTACACTCCCCCCTGGCTCACGGATTTGAACATGCCAGACGAGCAGACTGCCGCGCCGGTGCGTGGCCCCCCCAACTAAGTTAGCACCACAGTTCGCATTGGATCATGGCTTATTTCTTTGGCATCACTTGATTTGATCCTTTTGACGCATCCAATGCCCATGGAGGGCAGCGCCCATAATTCACGCTGGCGTGGAATGCGTGGACCAGGAGCGACATGGGATATGCGTCTTCAGCCCACGACATACAGGGCATTTGGTGTGACTGTCGCCTAAACTTACACTCTGAAAAAGTGCAGGACGAGTTTTTTGGCCGGCTGCCCACTTTTTGAACGTCTTTGTGAAACTAGGTAACCCCAACTCCGCCAGTTTCTTAACAGAGTTGGATGCACGGAATCGAAACGTACCTAGCGCTTTTGGCGGTGAAGAGCGACGTTACTCATGGGTTATAAGGGCTTCGTCAGCCAAAGATTGAAGGTGTGGAGAGACGGGTGCGGTTCACTAGGATAGAAAGCGACTTTTTCGCATTTTGCAGCGCGAAACATTGCCCGCTGTGGGAACCCCAGGCCCACTGCTGACCATCAGTGGGTTACAAGGCTTCTGTTAACCGAACGGTGAGAGGGTGGCTGGAAAAGCACACACTTTGTATCTTATTCGGACCTTTTGAAGAAGATAGAGAAAGAGATGCTGTGATAGTGTGCACTTGTGAGAGTTCGCAGACATCATTACAAAATGCTTAACCGCCAAGGCTCGCGGTTGACAAATGTCCTGAGACCTCATCAGTGGACACGAGGTTCCCGCAGCGAACCATCAGTGGACCCGAGCTTCCTGCAGCGAACAATGTTTCGCGCTGCGAAACGCGAAAAAGTCGCTTCCTGTCCTAGTGAACCACACTGAAGGGAGCATACGATTTGGGCAGTTCTGAGACTAATAGAAGAAAGCATAGATTCTGTGGTGCTAAGTGGGATGGGGGGGGGGACCACGCAGCGGCATTCCGCTCGCCTGGCTCTTCGGGAAATCCGTGAGCTAGGGGGAGTGCGGGGCAGGCTAGGGGGTGGGGGGAGGTGAAGGCAGTCACTTGACATGCGTGAAATTTGGAATGTTCGAGTTTACACTACCTCGCTCGAGAGAGCGCCAGGCGAGCAGAGCGCCGCGCGGTCGCGTGGTCCCCTCTCCCTCCACACTATTTAGCAGATTCCGTGATAGTGTGCATGTGTGAGAGCTCTCAAACAGCGCCTCAAAAAGCTGAATCGCCTACTGTCACGATCGACAGAAATCCTGCAACCTTCTCAGTTCTGCCTGCAAGTGTAATTACGTACCGAAAGACGGTACCGTAACTCACGCCTTACTATCGTGCCATCTTCTCACTGGGTACAAATTTCTCTCCCTTTAGAATGTGGTAAAAAAACAGCCGGCCCTAGAGGATGATGGCGTCCCAATCCAAATTTATCTTCCTGCGTCTGCATCGTGGCCTTTTTATTTAGGCGCGTTATCCACACCAATGAGGTACAAAAGTAGTATATGAAGATTTGCATACCCCTTGAGGGTAAAGTACGCGAAAACTTAGATGGGCGTGACAGCTCGCAGCTTCTAACGATGCCAAACGGGAGATATGTGAGTCTGTGAACGGTGAGAGAGCGCAGACGAGCATCAAATTGGAGGACCGAGTCCAAGTAGTCCACAGACGCAAAAACTGTATTACCGTAACTTGCAGTAACTTTTGCACCGAACCCCCCCCCCCTCCTCTCATCTACTGGAACAAGGCCGAGACGAATCTGAATACGACGGACGGATGTTCGTGTTACTGAGAAACCATTAAAAGGCGAGGAACCGGACTACTGGCTAACTTTCTCCCGAAAAGGTTCCCACTCTGCGAGAGATTTCCGCTCTTATCACGTTCTCACCAAGGGAATCTCGGTCAGACATCGATTGCAGTGTAAGTAAACAATAAAGATGTTGAGTAATAGTCCAATCTGAGCTGCCGATATTGATGGAGTGGATTGAGAGGACATCGCGAAAGAGCAAATAAAGGAAAACGATGACAATAGTCGGGTTGCTCGATGTTTGGACTTCTCCCTTTTAAACCTCGCCAAAGGGGCGGCGATGGAGAAATCATGATTTCCGAGTGCGGCATGATATGCGGCTTCTCAAATGACGACATTGGGGAATTCTTATTCCTAAGAACGAAAAAGCTCCGATAACGGGCTGATTGCGAAATTTTTAGAGAGGATCGTCTGCGACGAATATTTTAAAGTATTGGACGAGTTCCCCTGCGCACGGCACACCGTCACGATTATCGCTCGGGCGGCGCCACTGGGAATATGCGACGGCAGCGTTTTTGACGGGGTTCTTATCGATTTCTTCTACGGATCCTGGTTGTCACTATTGCAGGTTTTATAGCTCCTTCAATGAAAATATACCGCTACTTTGTAAAACTGAGATTTGTGATCTTTTTTATGACCTCATGTTGTTTTCAAGTGCTGGCTTCTGGCGATGTTGATGAAGAGTTGCCCAAACCTAGCTGAGGTTACCGTTTTGAGGGCTGTTCGTAAGCAACTATCTCGAGATTAGTTTGCCTGGATTACCTCAAATTGACCTCCTGAAATGCTTCAGTAAAATTATGATTAAATCAGCAGTGGCGTAGTAAATCGCGTTGATAAAAATTTCCCTGTGTGGATTTTTCCAGCGAATAGCAGGGGTGATATTTGGGTGAATGGATCAAGTTAATAAGACTTTCCCGCTAATACTGGTGGACAATTTTGTTGGTTGTATTCTGCATAGCTCCTGCATTCAAATTTGTGCCGAAAGGGTACTCGAAAATTTTTTGTAATAGTGGTAGTGTTACAAGACGTTTTGAATTGACCATTGGACCCATTTAGGGCTAGGAAAAAAACGTTTGCGACAGCGATTCGTCAGGAGCTAAGATGTCCGCCAGACTCGGCCATTGTGTCGAGCGTTTGGCTTGATCAAAAAACGGTCAAAAATGTAACACCAAAGTGGGGGCCGTGCTGGTGTTACCGCTTCTTCACCACTTTTTGAATCAAAGCCTATTTTTAAGGGTTATTTCCTGTGTATGAATATGGCATTCATCGTTCATGCTAACTCCATTTTGCGCAAATTTTGGAACTTCAACTAAATGCAAAACTTTATCACCACGAGGAATCGGACCAGGGACCCCCTCTCTTGGTATTCAACAGCCCGAGGAAAAATTAATCGTGGTTCTATGGTTCCCGCATGTGCCCCTATATCGTGCAAAAGAATGATTTGAAAAAGCTTGGCAGCCCCTGAAAGACCTTCCTGGTAAGGTTATCGGGTAGTGTAGCCATTTGGGCCGTAGGGGGAGGGGGTGATTTGCTAGAACAAAATGCGACTTTTTGGCTTTTTGCGGCGCGAAAAATTTTTCGCTGCCGGGACCTCAGGTCCATCTCTAATATGAGTGAACCAAAAAAGTCTCCTCTGTGAAAAGCAAGAAGTCGCTTTCTGTCCTAGCGAGCTACATCGGTACAGGTAGAAGATAAGACGCTCATGTCGTTAGGGGGGACATTGAAGTGAGTGAACCACTTAGCAGAACTTAGGATTAGCCTTAGAGAGGAAAAGAGATTCTGGGTGAGCAGCCCTGGTCGTCTTGGCGTTTCTCCACTCTCTTGGGCTTAATCCAGGTATCATCTGCCAGCGGTTTCTAAATGCCCCATTTCAGATGTCCCCCCCCCAACCCATTCCTATGAAATGAGAGACATTATTTTAGAAAGAAATCATAGTTTTCCCACCGAGTGTAGTGGCAAGCCAATGAATCACCTTCATGTTGTAAGTTGACGAGACGAAGTCAGGCGTGACCAATGATTAGAAAAGAAAGATCGTTTATGAATTTAGTTCAATCCAACTACTGAATGTGTGTTAGTTGTTCCAGGAATGCATTTCAAAATCACGTGAATCGTGCAGAAACCAGTGTTTCATCAAAACATTCGACCATCCATAGGTTGAGAATGTCACCTGCTGATCTCTTTTGTTTCCTCAGTACGCTTGATGTCGTTTCTCTTTTCTTTTGAAATCTTTTTTTTATCATCCATAACCTCCACTTGTTTTATCTTAATTTCTCCTTCGTCCATTTTCATAAATTCCAATTTGATTGTTTAGACTGGGTCTTGTCCCTGTTCGGTGGATTGAATTGCGGGTGGATAGCTGGTGTCTTTTGTAAAGGGTGAGTGGGAGTAGTATACGTTTCTATTGAAAACCTTTTTTCATTGCTGCTGCATAGCCGTCTATCATGTCCACATTTAAGGCAAGATGTCAAAGTTCCCTGCTCGCGGATTTCCGCTTCGTACCATCGGCGGACTTCGCTATGGAGTGGCTGCAGCAAGCGCAGCCAATCTCAGTGTTGCTCCTCAAAGGTCAGTTGTCTTAACATTAAAACTTTAGTGTAACAGATACATAACTCAACGGATACGGAGTAGGAGTTGTCTCATTTACCACTTCCCTGTTTAGCAAAATTTGTTTGAATGTGGACGCGACGTCGCCGCTTTTCTTAGCATGGAGCTTTTTCCGCTGCTTGAACCCCATGTCCATGCATGATCAGGGGTGGACCTGGGGTTCTCGCAGCGAGAAAAACCTCGCGATACAAGAAAAAAGGTGGCGGGTCTCTCCAGACGGATAGCACCTCCCAAGTGTATAGTTTAGGAATAAACCTAAGAGGTAGAGAAAACCTATGGGATTGTGAGCAATCTTCGTTTACTCCGGGGGACTTCCTCCACTTCCTGGGCTTACAGTTAGTTCTAGCTGGGGTGGTATTCAATCCTTCCCCCCAGGGGGATATATCCCCCTCCTCTGATTCAATCCTCTGGGGAGACAGAAAAGGGTTGCGTCATAGGACCTCGCACACCTCTGTGTTTCTACCTGCCAGACAGTTAGAGCAGCTCCACTACCCTCCACTGATGAAGCACCCTTTCCCCTGGGTCGCGCTGCTCTGACTGTCTGGCAGGTAGAAACATAGAGGTATGCGAGGTCCTATGACGCAACCCTTTTTTGTCCCCCCAGAGGATTGAATCAGAGTAGGGGGATATGTCCCCCTGGGGTAAGGATTGAATACCGCCCCTGGTCACTTGACAAATATTATTTTTCATGACCTTCATTTTATAAAGCAAACAACGCAGGATAAAGCTAGGAACCATTCGTAGATGTAAGGGGCTCCTCAAGCCAAACTGTCACTTAGAACAGCTGTGCACACCTCGTAGCGCCCTTTTACCGGAAGAAACCCAGGTGCGTTCTTTTCTGCACTCACGGGACGTCCTTTCTGGTGTTATGGCTGCAGACGAATGCAGCGTGAGAGTGATTACTAAGCATATTTGAAGAAGATACTGTTGATTAGTTAATTACGACGATTTGAAAAATTCACATACCAGTCATGCAATGTACTTGATTTGGCAGCATAGAATTCAAAACTTTTAGTCGTGCTGCATCCACTTCACGTCTTTCGCCGTTGTTCGGAGGTTCATCGAAGAGTGTTCTTCGACCTACTGCCGTCATACGGAGTGTTAGACTTCTCTGTTCAGGTAATGCACCAGATCTCTGTGAATCAGTACATCACAGCCTCCGTCCGAAGCTAATGCAACAACCGCAGATGGGGTCGTGTTTGACAATCCCTTTGTAGGTAGGATAGAGTAGCCCATGTCACAGATGTGCCGTTGTTGCGTCTTGAAAGTGCGCGACAATGGCGCGCGGACTAAAGGGAGCCATGGACAACCAAGTTCAGGCAATTCGTTCGGACCCCCCCCCTTACTATGGTAAGAGAGGTAGGTCTGTCCAAAGGCTCATAGGTTCGCTTTGCTTCCGTATTTCCTTTTCCGGTTCATTCGGCATCTACAGTTTCCTTATCAACCGCTGTTAACCCACCAATTTCATCTGGGGTTGTTGCTTTAAAGTCACGAGACGCCATTCAATTGGCGTATCACTTCGTTCAAAAAGTAGATAAGGAAGTGATGAGGGACTTAAGTGAGAGAAAAAGCGAAAGCACTTCAGAAAACGCTAAAATTTCTCTTGCGTAGTCGGCCATTGTATTATGGGATAAAGAGGGCAGCACAGCGGCAAGGCCTAACACCATCGCCTGACCCTTTGAAGTCGCGACGGTCTCTCATGTCTCCTGGGCTTGTGGATCCCTCTTCATCCTCTGGGAGGGACTACCGCTTGGCACTTAATCTCGGATCGTGGCTTTAAAGCCACGAGTCAGGATTAGGGAACATGAGGAAGTCCTTTATAGGGTGCGAAAGTGGGGTCTCCAAGCAGAGGGGGTGTGACGCAGTCGCGACAAGGAAGTGCGCGGCAAAGGCGCTAGGGCCTTGCAATTGTGTGCTGCCGTGCTGCGAGAATTTCCGGAAGCACAGATGTGGATGTGGTGCGTGGCTGGCCTAACGTGTGAGATCAGCTGAGTTGATTGCCGTATCAACCTATGGAACGGATGGCATATCCAGAAAACTCGTTTGGACATGACTCTCCCCCGAGCAAATCTCCTTCACTGCTAGAAGGAAATAGGTTTTTATTTAGGTGTTGTCGACAGTTTTTTCTTCGTTTTTTCTACACTATCGTTCCACCTCCCATCTCTAAACTCAGTATCAGGCGTCATAATGCCGAAACACGAGCTTGACTTTTGCCTTTAAGTGGCTTTTGGCTACGCGAACGTATTACCTTGTTGCTCAATTTAAAACTGGAAATGAGGATTAAGGATCTTCTTTTTTTAAGGAAATCTCCCGTCGCATAAGCGTGTGGCACTGCCTGCCCTGTCTCCCACCATGGAGATGGGTACGGTAATCAGCTGGCAGAAGGTATGTCATTCAACTTGTTTTGTTTTTCACTGTAAGATGATTTTGTAGTATTGCTATTTAGAAAGAAGGTGATCAGTTGAGCGAAGGTGATTTGCTATGCGAAATTGAGACCGACAAGGCCACCATGGGGTTCGAGACACCTGAGGAAGGCTATCTTGCAAAAATCATTATCCAGGAAGGCTCCAAGGACGTTCCAATAGGAAAGGTGCGTACAGTATCTCTTTACCAGTTGCTTTCTTCTACGTTTGCATTCTTTTGTTTTAGTTGCTTTGCATTATTGTTGAAAAAGAGGAAGACGTGGCGGCGTTCAAGGAGTTCAAAGATGACGGGGCCTCAGCGGCCCCTCCTGCGGCAGAGGCATCTGCCCCAGCTTCACCACAACCACCACCAAAACCAGCTGCAAAGGCTGAGCCACCACCTCCTCCACCGGTAAGCGAATGCATGCATGAATATGTAAAATTTCGAGCGTCGTAATAACAAGCACTACTCAGGCTGCAGAAAGCACGCCAGCGCCTTCCTCACCTCCGCCCGTTTCTCAAGGTGGACGTGTAGGCGCCACTCCTTTTGCGAAGAAGCTTGCCAAAGAACGAGGAGTGGATATCAGTGTGAGTATTTTTCTTTCCATGTGTGACCTTTCCCTTCAATATTCCTTTGCAGGGGGTGACTGGTTCAGGACCTGGCGGACGTGTTCTTGCAGCCGATCTTGCTAAAGCGCCTGATAGTGCACCTGCTCAAGCTGCATCAACTCCTCCTCCACCGGGTGCAGATTACACAGTTAGTGGCTATAAACATCCACTTATTCTCGAATAGATTTTTGTCTATGTGGCCAGTGTGATGTTTGAGGTGATCACCATAGATACGATAGGATGGAGGGTCACCATGCCATGATCCATGCTTTCATCATTCCAATTGTTCGCAAACACTTACCCGCTGTTTTCGGGCCTTCGCTCTTTATTGCTTGTATGCAATCCCTCCCCGACCTCCACCTTTGATGCTATATTTTACCATCGAAGAAGTGGAAAGACAACGGTCTCGCTATAGGGAGCACCTGGGCGGTAGGTGCTCAGTGATGAGCCGGTGCTCAATCTTTTGGAACAGTAGAGACGCGGGAAAAGATCCACTTTTTGTGTTCTCCTGCCATGCAATAGTGTTGAACGTTGCTGAGAGCTTCTGGATATTTTGGAAGGTATCTTAAGAGGAAGTCATGGGTGAGCTAAACGAACCAAAAAGCTTGATTGGTGTTTGCACTCCGTTTTCGCTTTGTTCAAAGCCACTGTAGGAAATTTGTGCTATGTAAGTTGAGTTATGTCCTCAGGATGGTGTGAAAATTGTGAGACGTACAGGAAGAAGAAGCTTTGAGGTATCAAATTCCGACTGTTACTTATCATCGGTATAAATGAGAGCGTTTCATTCTGGCCGGTGATGGTTCAGTTTAGTAACACACGAAATGAAAATACCACGCTCAAGTCTATTCTGAAGATAGTAATGTCTTTTTTTGATATTAAAATAATCGAAACATGCCGAGTAAGACAGATATTTCATTTGGATATTGATCAGCAGCATAGCTCCCGTACTATCCTTAAAGGGGCTAATCCCATCCTGTCGTGTCTCTCTGCAGGTACAGTACATACTGAAGCTTAACTACGTCATAGTGAAGTATTCTCTAAGAAATGCGTTCTGGTCCTTTCAGAATCAACCGGACGCTTACTCGTTTTTTATTTGAGAGGTATTGCCATCAATTTTTCTCTTATATTGTAGAGTTTCCAAACGACACCTAAAAAAAAGAGTACCACATTCCGACTTGAATTTTTGAAAAACGACATCACATGTGGTCCCTTGATTTGTTGTTCCTAAGTTAGAGTTAAAGTCAATTCGGTTCTTTGATTTGCTATGGTAGGTCAAAAATGAAGTTCCTAATCCATTAAAAAAGCCTGTCCGAATAGGTTTTAAAATAGCAAGGGTTGACGAATGAATGGACTAAAGTCCCATTTGTTGGCGAGCATCGGCAATAGTGCCATCATCGAATCAACCTCAACCCTTTCGGCACTGAATTTCCTTTCGTGAGAAAAAATTTCTTGCTATTGTTCGATACTTGTAATCTTATAAATGACTCCAAAACAAAATTTGGAGTTTTCGACAATGGAAACTGGAAAACTACGAAGCTGGCGATCACCGCAACCTCCCAGCACGTTTTCGATGACAATGTGAATATATTTCAAGCATTGAGAATGATGACACTTATCTAGTAAGCTGCTGTGACCGTCACGATTCATTGTTACACTTATACACAAAGACTTGTAATTAACAACAAAAAAGAGCAGGAGCAAAGCAAATTTGGAAGGACAAGGTGAAGCGACCGCTAGCGGTGAATAGTAGGAATGCTGTTGTGCGTGCGGTAATGCAGACCCTGAATTTTATGGTGGCAATTGCCAACGCCAGGACCGAAAAATTAAATTATAATCGCCATCTAAGCCTTTTCATAAGGCCTCAAGGTTGTCATCATTATCCATCATTCGCATTACAATGAACACGATACATGGAGAAATCGAATGACCTACCCTCTTAGGTGTGATTTTCTGGAGACTAGAAACTACAAAATAGCGTTTTGTGTGTATTCCGATTCCGTTTACATAGATTTTTCATTCAACTCATTTAGGATATTCCACTTTCGAACATGCGTCGTACAATTGCCAAGCGTTTGACGGCAAGCAAAACAACTATCCCCCACTACTATCTTACTGCCGAGATAAATATTGACTCGTTGCTCAAGTATGTTTGCTATATTTGTTTGAGAGTTTTCCTTTTGTCTCAGAAGTATCTTGATAGTGAGAAAGTAGATGATGGTAATACAATATCAAAGATTTATAGCTTGACCGTTCCTTCAGTAGAGACATGAAGCTAAAAGGCAGTAAATTATGAATTACGATTAAAAAAACTGGTTTATCGCTGTTGATTTTAAGGAGTGTCGATGGGCATCAGTAAAGACTGCAGAGCGAGTATGAGCCTCAACAAAACCTACCAAAGATAGTATAGACTGGAGTCAACCAACCAGTATCAGTTTAGAATAACTAATGAAAATTTTAAGGGTCCGCGAAAAGTTGAATACACTGCTGGCTCAAGGAACCTCTGGTGGTAAAACGAAGATTTCCGTGAATGACTTCATTGTTAAGGTTCTTATTTTCAGTGTTCTTTCTATGAAATATTACTTTTGCCATGGGCTCCTTTTATTTCGCAAAATACCAGGCATCCGCTTTGGCCTGCTTGCGCGTGCCAGAAGCGAACAGCTTCTGGATGGACTCGTTTATTCGACAAAACAATTCTGTGGATGTAAGCGTAGCTGTGAGCACTCCTGCAGGATTGATTACTCCAATTGTATTCAACGCACATGCGAAGGTATACATGGTTAAATTATTTTGATAATTTAACAGCTGTCTATAATCCAGTCTCAAAACTATTCTATACTTGTTCACGATTTCAGGGTCTTGCTACGATATCGAGCGAGATTAAGGATTTGGCAGCTCGTGCCAAAGATGGGAAGCTGCAACCGAACGAGTTCCAGGTATTGCTATCAGCATGTACAGTTCATAGATGGGTTGGATTTATCCAATACTTTCAGGGAGGTACCTTCACTGTTTCAAATCTTGGCATGTTCGGCAGTGTTACCGATTTCACGGCCATCATCAATCCCCCTCAATCATGCATTCTTGCCATAGGTGGTGCCGAGACGAAACTGGTCCCGTGCGAGGAGCAGGGGTATGTGATTGGCTTTTTAACAAAAGATTAAGTAAACAAAAATATAAAATGAAAGATCTTCTCAAGCTAGGCCATGTTGGCAGTCAAATATCGTTTTACTAACAAATGCTCTTTTTGCACTACACTTACTTGTACACAACATCATTCACTAGATGGCGGTTCCACAATGAACCAAAGTAATCAGTTTCATCTGTGGACACCATGGAGCCCCAAAAATTCGAGATGTGCCTTTTTCATGGTTCAGAAATGCACGACAAAGGCGCTGGAAAACTGTGGCCATGGGACGGTAAGGTGCTACAATACGACCAAGCGCTGCTGCTTACGTTCCTCGCGGTTAAGAAATTCACCATGGAGAAAGACTTAGCTTCAGAGCTGGGAAAGAGGGAAGGGACTTATGGCTCTCATCTGAAACTTATATCATGGTGACTGGGCGTGGTTATTGCCCTCGAGAGGACCGTCTGTGAAAAAATCGAGGGGGTACCGCTGAAATCGTTGGGGAGAAGGCTCTCTTCCTAGATGGTGGGCGAGTCAACAGCTTTCAACAAAGATGAGACATCGGGAGTTGAGGAAAGATAACAGGCTCGCAAACTGAAGACATCGCTAGTAACTACATCATTATTTCTTAGCATAAGTGGCGCCCTATAGCCATTGCCCCGGTTTTTGTAAAAAAAAAAGGGAACGGCCCTCTACATCTTAGTAAATATACATCATTTAGCTCTTGGAAAGGATTAACACACCCACTGTTTGTTGAGAAATATAATAGTAATGACGGAATAGTGAGGTTGACGACGAACATCCAACTTAGTTAACATAATTGCATACCGGCCCAAATGGTTGGACCTTCACCAGGTTTCTGCATGAAGAAATCAGATGCTTCGTGTACCTTCTAGGGAAATATATTGGGTGCTGCTGCACACGACGCTGAAAGGAGACGTTGCCGGCGAAACACTCAAAGTCAATGAATATGAGGTCTGGAAGGCGGAACGGATTTGATGACTGATTTGGCGTGGAATGACGTTGGATGGTAATCCGAATCACATCCATCAGCGCGTTGAGTGGTCTAGTCCAACAATGACGTCATCGGAACCGCTTCGCTCCCAGCCATGTTTTTACTGTCTTGAAGGCACCCAGGTCAAACAAATTCCCTTGGAGTTCCAGCTCTCGATCGGTTGCCATCATTAGATTTGCCCAGGATGGGGAAAGAAATCGGGTTAATGGTTAGCTTCCTCCCTCAATTTGGAGCGAAGGGCCCTTATATGTATCCCTACAATTCTGAATGGAGGCCGAGTGCATGATCTGAGATGGTGAATGGTCAACGTGGGGCGCTTCATTCGTTAGTTTGGTGTTTGGCAACTTTCGTAATGTGCTCTGTGGTGCAGTTTTCTTCACACCTTTTATACAATGAATTAAGTGCATGAATTTGTGGAGTTATAAGAGTAACTATAATCGTTCTTTTTTAGATACCGTAGCGTGAAAGTGATGAAAGTGACACTATCATGTGATCATCGTGTTGTAGACGGAGCAATCGGAGCTGTTTGGTTGCGTCATTTCAAGGAGTTCCTGGAGAAGCCACACACCATGCTTCTCTAGAAGCTAGTCATTGATTAGGTGATAGTTTAAGTTCTACTAGACTAACTAACTAGAATGGGCCTTAACACGAGCCGTTTTATCATTTTCGTTGAACAGCTCAATGTGAGTTTCCCCAATGTCTATGTCAATAACATGATAGCCGGTATGGTGGTTTCCAAACATTTTTGTAGTGCTTTTCGGATCAGTAAATTAAGCAGTGAGTAAGTGTTCTAATAATTCGCATTAACTCTTAAGACATACTGGCGCGCTAGTCTTTCCCGCTGTTATCTGCCTCCCAAGTACCAGAACTGGGTTCGTGGTGTTCGCCTCAATACTGACTGAAGTAGCATTATTCAATTGTGGGAATTTGGAAGTGCCTACCATAGGTGTGTAAGACTTAAGCGTATCTAGGTGTAATATCAACGGTATTCCTGGCCGAGGGGTATTAAGAAGTAGTAGTGCCCATGCATGGTCATTTTACCGAGCGGTCGTGTAGCCCGTTCGCCACACGATGCATCAATTTAGGTTCACTACATGCATACGGCCATTCTTCGTAATAGCTTAACTTGATTCACATCTCTAATGAGCTGATTGTGGAACTAGTTTGATTATGTGTGAACCATCTGTAGGGTGTCAGTTGTTGTTAAATTCTATGAGAACTGGATGTGGACAATTTACTTACTTGTGTTCGATGTTCCAAGTTTATCAACTTTAGCATGTTCGTAGCAACTGTAGATAGTAGTTTAATAAATCTTGTTTGTTATTTTCATTATCTCACTGTATTAGAGAAAAGTGTATTTAGTTGTACTAACCAAATAGTTTGTGTGGCTTTCTGAGTTTTTGCAGTGGCAGTGGAATTAATGTTTGTTGGATGCTAAAATCGGTCATTTACCCTGTTTAGCCTTGCCTGAGGCTTTGCGCGAAAATCAAAAAATGCTTTTTTTCCCTCAAGGATGATGCGTTATGGGCAAAACCCTGGCCTCAGGAGGGATCGAACGCGCATCTCTTACTTACCGGGCAAATGTGCTACCATCACCCTACCGGGGCACTGGTTCACCCTTGCTCAACTTTTTATGCTGGATTAACCATAGCTTATCAGCACTTACACTTCTAATGGTAGTGTAGTGGTAGCACATGTCCCTAGGTAGAAGATGCGGATTAGAGTCCCTTGTAGAGCCAAGGTCTTGCACATAAACCATGTGAGAGCCAAGGTCCATACAGAGTATGTACGGATGTCCTATAAGGGGGGTTTTGGGGAATAAACTCCTTCAAACAACTCAGACTCCGCTTCATTTACCAGGGACCTACATACCAGTACATATTTTTATCCTATCCTTTTATCCTTGAAGTTGGTTGGTACATGGTACATATCATATAGTGCGGCGTTAAAACCATATTGAAAAGAAAACGAATACAAGAAATTACAATATGCTACAATTTTCAGCCTTGCGCTTTACTGCCGATGTCTGATATCAGCAAAGCGGTCTCATTGTTAGATGATATAGCCGTAAGTACCACCATCCATAAGGATTTTCGTATTCGAATCGCTGATCAAATCTCCTCGTGGAACCAAGCATGCCATTTGCTAGGGCTCGGTTAGCCATTAAGAAATAGAGGGTGAAATGTCTGTCCTGTACATCGACTGGTTCAATCTGACCATTGTAATGGACATATCGCACTTGAAGTTGTGCCCCAGGATCAAACTGTTGTGGTCTTTGCCCACGTGTACGGAAGTATTGATGCGGAATGGGCCGGCACTAAAAAAAGGAGTTGAGGTTCGGCTGTATGCTCAGCTCAGTAATGCGGCTGTGCTTAGGGAATGAGAGAATTGCGCGGAGAGAGGGGTATGTGGAGAGAGAGCGCAGGAAATGAGAGGGCGTCAAAAATAGCCTGGAAACTTGCAGCTGCTGCAGCTTACATTGCAAGGCCCTAGTGTCCTTATCGGGTGATTTCTGTTCACTGGAGTACCACATCCACGATTGTTCACTAGGGTCTATCCTACAGACCAAAGGGAACCGTTTTCACGATTTCAGCCTGAGTTGTGGCTCTACATGCTATTGCGATTCCGAGTGGAAGTGGGATGCGTGGCAGATCCCAGAACGCTCCACGTTGCCTCCTTCTATGCCTTAACGTTCAGAATGGGAATGGTAATGGTCAGTATTTTCGATTGGTCATTAAAGTCAATTACAAATGCAGGGCTCCCTTAAACATGGGTTTATGGCGGGTTATTCGACTTTTTCGTGATGATTCACTCACTGATGCATGCAGTCGCAATTCCCAAGCTCCCTTCTAATAGGTCGGGTCGCGAAAGTTGCACTTCTGCGACTGCACACCCAAGTGTCTTATTCACTATTCATAAAATTATTAGCGACAAATTGCCGCTAGAGGATGCGCTGTTAATTATGCCTTCAGACATTGTAAACAGTGTAGAGGTATCAAAAGAACCATAACTGTACTTTCGAAGAGCTCCAAAATTTTAAGGCAGTGAAGAGTTGTCATGGCACGTACTAGTAGTTGAGGTTGTCGTCTGCCCATGCTCCCTTGCCCTTACAAGATGGTCTTTCAGGACAAGCCACGCATTTTCAAACGGTTTTACATAGTTGTAAAGACGCACATAAGTGGAGAAAAAACCGCTTCATATTCCTGAACGGTTCTAGCAGTATCAGGAAACCGAAGCATAATTCCGGTTTAATGGTGTCGACCCCGTAGCTACTAAATTTCGCATAGGGTTTTGCGCCACGGTTGGTGGCGAAATCGCGTCTGAAGTTCGAAACCAGATGTCGTATTCATCGTCTAGACCCGCATTCTGAAGCCACACAAGTGCCGCCAACTTTTCGATTCAAAATTAGTCGCCGGCGAGGGATTAAACCATCGCGGTATCATTCACCTCACTCCCTCCTTGTGTGCCCAGCTCATGCTCCCAGACTGTAAGCTCCATTTCACGCAGGAACCTCCTCTGTACACCTTCATCCTACTCCAGAGCGATTTTGAGCATATACCCCACAACGAAAACCGCTTCATTCGAATATTATTGGAGAGAAGTTCTAATTTTACAAGTCTGCACCTTGATGTTGCTACTATTCATCGGATTGTACTTTAAGTTGGTTGTATATCAATTCAATAGGCATTCACTGAGAAAGTGCGTCCCCCGTAAACCAGTAACCAGGAGCCCGCTTCTACTTAACGAGTGTATCACTTTCAGCTTTGAGTTTATTTTTTTATTTTATTTATCCACGTATACTCGTGCACCCTGACGGAAAATCTATAAACAACATCGTAACGGACACTGTGATGATCCAGCGAGCTTTTGCATCTTCAGCACTATGGAAGTCAACCAACGCACTAAATTCAACATGATTCAAACGACTGGCACGATATAGACCTACTTCTGTGTATCACAAGAAGCTCGGTTCTGAACTAAGCTTCGCCCCAGGCGGGATCTTCGACCCCAACACACAAACAAAAACTATTGCTTGTTTTTTTACCGCAGCTAACGGATTGCACGCCTCCCTCAGGAACTTCAGTACGAACACATAAACCTGATTCGAACTTCGAATGTGGGTAGATCCCTTATGGGGCTCTTCACCTCGAAAGTGGGAGGGGAAGAGGGACTTGTGGTGCGCGGTGCTGCGCGACACAGTAAATACCATTTTTGAGGTGAAAAGTTCCGGGGCGTGAAACCGTTGTTTGCTTTGCACTCCACCCCCAGAAGTTTTGCCTCTCCTGCGAAAAAAAAAGAAAAGCAATAAAATTCGGATTACAGACAAATGAATCTTCCGCGTCGTATCCACCGCTCCTCCATCCCCTCCCTGTACCTTATGGTTGAACCCTGAATTATGTTCTGAGAGCTGAATAGGGTCTTTTTTTGAATTCCTCAACTCCTCGCCACTCTCACCAGGAGCAGTCTGCCGCATGGAGATATTGATTTTCTCGGCCAGAGTATTAGGCACCACGAGGATTTAGGTCTTCATTCTTCATTTTTCTCTATTGACCATTTAAGTTTTATTATTAGAAAGCTGTGACATCATTCCGGAGAAGGCTGCCACCCTCCGGCATTGATTGCCAGCAAGTCTGCGTTCTAATCGAGCTCTTTTGAGCCGCCCCAGATCTATCCGCTATGCTGCCCATGCATGTCGTCGTGGTTATCTGTTCATGAGCAAATCAATCGTGATGGGACTATTTTCTTTCGTAGTACTCCTGAGCAGCCTTCCAATCGATTGGGATTTTTGAAATCAATGCCAGTCCACGATGGGCAAAAAATGCTCAAAATGTGCGCAACCTTGGTACGCGAAGATTTCGCGATCACATATTAGTCTCACCACGCAGGGCTTTCGAGTCCTAATGAAACTTTGGATGGACACCTAGGTAAATCAGTAGGGTAAAGTCGATGTCAGAAATGTGGAGGCCAAAACTGTTACGTGGGCTTTGCAAGCAAGTTTTGAGCGGTCAAAGTTGGGAAACAATGCAGCAAAAAAGTAAGTTGCAGCTCCAAGGCTGGCGCCAGATGGCCTCTGTAGCGAAAGTGAATGCCACATTCGTGATCAGACCAATTTTTCACTCTTGTAGTCAAAGTTTCAGGAGAATTGAAAACGTTCGTACGCTCTTGGCTCGCCCCGTATACTTGAAGGCAAAGTTCGAGCTCAGACCCACCTAAGAAGCCCTTATCATGGCTAGAAGTGCTGGGTACGCAAGTGCAAAGGTAGCGCCACCTTCTTACATCGAAACGCGTCACTAGGACCCTAGGCGCCATGAACCTCTAACAGACTCCACCAAACTTAACATGGTCCGCCCATCATTCGATATATTGTCTGCGTTGCTGCGTTGATCTGCGATGCTCTCTCTGCTTGTTCTTCTCTACCGCTCTCCGCTCTCACATTATCTCTCATCTTCCTGCCTGTCTTTTGGACTTCTCCACAGCATAGAGAAAAATGCTTGCATTTCTATGTATTTCAGGATTTTCTTTCTTTTTTCTCCATTGGCGGTCCACCTCCCATCCCTTTTTTCACATTCTTGTGGAATGA